AGAGCAGAACGTTAGAGATTGAACTAACAGATTCTGCATCTTCATACATTTGGATTTGAATTAAACTGCCAATGTTGTGGAAAACTACACAAAATAATAACAACAAAAAAAGAGATGGATGATTTTGACAATTTAACCATGATGTATAAATTCAGGGGCCATGCCACATTTAACAGTCTTTTAGTTTTCATGGTCTAACTATGTCATCCTTTTGGTAACAAGGTGATGTTTTTCTCACATTTTGTCCAATTCCTACCAAAATGCTCCTATTAACACCATTATAGTACAGTTCATATAATCATAATAAAACAAATGGTTGAATGGTAAATGGGTAGCAGTTTTGTACCATAAAAACTTGGTACCATTGATAAAGTTACTTCTTTGTGTTCAGTAGCATTTACCTGACGCAATCTTGACATAATGGGGGTAGTTGGAGAAGAATTAATTCTTTGTGTTTGAAACACAGATTGATGGGAATTTTCAGCATATCAGACACAGAGTTTTATTCTTCTTAGGTGGTTGAGCAAGCACATTAAGAAAGCCATACGGTCCACAGTGCTTAGTCTGGACTGGCATCCAAACAACATCCTGTTGGCAGCTGGGTCTGCAGACCTTCACTGCAGGTAAGACCGGACCTTCATCTTTTTAAGACCGGCTAGCAGCCAAAGACTTTCATCTGCTTTTCCCAAAGATTTCAATTGTTTCCCCCTTTTTAAAAAAAGGAATGTTAATAGATCAGGACTGAAAATGTTCTTATATCATTGTAGCAGCTCTCCATTGTTTACAGGGTTTTCTCGGCTTACATCAAGGACATTGAGGACAAGCCTGGCCCCACAGCTTGGGGGGCCAAGATGCCTTTTGGCGAGTGTCTGCTGGAGCATAAGGAATGTGGTGGCTGGGTGCACAGTGTGTCCTTTTCCCCTAGTGGTGACCAGCTGGCCTGGGTGGCACACAACAGCAGCATCACTGTGGCTGATGCCGCCCAGGGAAAGGAGTGAGTACAGCGGCTTTTACTTCACCTAAATTAAGTGAAGGTTAATTAATGCAATCTTTGTGCCGTCTCATGGTTTTATCTAAGCGTCTATATCCCTTTCTTCTGCTCAGGGTAACTCAGCTGACTACGGACCTTCTGCCATTTCTGGGCGTTCTTTTTGTCAATGCAACTGAGATTGTTGCTGCGGTAAATAAACCTGCTCACTGTTTGCATTCAGTGTTTAAGTCAGACAGGAATATGACATCATTTATGTGAACAGCTAATATATTCAAACAGAAAAAAGGCAGATAATCTCACAATGTTTTTCAAGAGCATTTAAAAAGTTAAAACAAGATACTTGAAAGGAAAGAACAAATCTACACTCACCGTGTAAAATTCAGCTAGATTAAAAGCGGAACTCACAAATACTCAAGGGTTTTTTTTCACAGGAAATCAGGCAAAGTATTACAATTTTTAGCAAACAAAAATGTATTTAAAAAAACAATAATAATAATAATAATAATAAAAAAACTATTACCAAGAAATCCAAAGTTTAATTCAATAATATTTCAGTATAAATGATAAATAACCCAAAAAACCTTCACAACCAATTTATAAGAAAACTCAAAGTCTCAATTTATATCAGCAAAAAACAAACAAAAACATCCCTAATAACTTAAAGTCCAAAAATGTCCGTTCTTTTTATTCCTAATAATAATGTCCAAACAGGAGTTCCATACACTTCGAACTCAAAGTACAATCCTGAAACCGTTTCAGTCCAAAGTCCTTTCCAAAACGAAAAATACAAACGGCAACCACCCCCCAAAAAAAGATTAGAAAAAGAGTGGTACCACCAAAAATCCCCAAAAAGAAAAATAAGGTCCAGATCTCACCGGTGCGTCTTTCTTTCCCCTGGGCGGCGTCTCCTTGCACCGGGCGGCGTCCTCTGGGTGCAAACTCTGTCAATCAGTTATCTACAAATCTCTGCGGTGATCTGCGGCGCTGGGACAAACTCTGTCTGTGTTTCCTTTATTTTTCGACTTGTTTTTATCGGACAACAAGACAAAATCTCCCGCTGCACAGACCTGTCAGTGCGCGTCTTCCTCACCTGTCGAGCCGCGCGCGCCGATGCACACGCCCCTTTTTATTCAGAAATTTCTCCACGCCAAAATGAATTCCCATCATAATTTTCTAACCAGTGGAGATTTGAAATAATATTATCAATGACATAACTGTTCTACAAGACAGTTTGTCATTGGTACACTTTAATGTGCTTTA